GAGAATGAATATACTAGTATATGTTTGACTTCCGGGCATCCTGACAGGCCCTTTTATATAACATGCATTCGAGCAAAGGCCGTCCCACAACTGCACAATCCGGGGTGAGACACCACCCTTAAGACTGGTGTAAGCCACGACGGCTACCGCTAAGAAGCTTCGCCCATGCGCTGAGCGCGACATTGCTCATATAATGTGCAGGTCTCGTTTCGATTGTCTCCCTTTGGTGGGGTTCGTAGTCGGGGGGAGGAGTTCTGCGACGACCTGGCAGACAAGAGTGCTTATCCACAACATCGTTTGGGAAATCCCCCCCACCTCCCTTGAAATCCAAACGTCCTTCGCTCCGCTTCCGACAACACACTGATGAATCCTACGGGGTTTTCCGCACTTTTCTTCTTGATTTTACTTGAAGGATAGGTGATTTCCGTACGTTCCGGATACTATCGACCAATCGGGACCATCACCCTCTTTTGGCACGCCAAGCCCCCAGAATTTCGACAGTCACTGGAAATCGAATGCGTGGCCACCAAGTGTTCCGAGCGGTCCGCGCCGCCCCTCTGCGACGTGCAGCGGTCAAGGCCATGGCGCCCCGTGCGTTTGCTGCCGTGCAGCAAGCGGCTGGCTATGCCACGATCTACGACCTCAAAACTCCTTTTGAGGTGCGTCACTTTGAAGGCCCGTCGAAGATGCGGGCATGCAGGGGTAACGAATTCGCCACATATGTAGGACACGAATCGCCATCGCAGCGACGCTGAAATTCTCATCGCCCAAGTGCCGGTTGTGGAAGTCGATTCAGATGTGGCGGTGTGCGACGGCGGCGGAGGGGCTTTGGGCCATCCCTTGGAGTACATTGCGTTGAACACCGTGTCTGACAAGCCCCAAACGTGCAAGTACTGCGGCCTTCGCTACAAGCAAAAGCCCCACCACCATCATTAAGCTCCCAACGAGACACCTCGTCATTCTCGTCTTAACATCAGGCTCTCTTTACGACCTCTTGCGCTTCTTATTCCTATTCAACGTACTCGGTTCACCCAGCGCTTGCACAATCGCCGCTTCGACGGCCGACAACACCCTCGTATCTGCGTCCTCGTCCGCTCCTGTCGTTTGGAAGAGCTGCATCGGTTCCTTCAACCCGACGTTTGGATTACACATGAAGCGGACGGACGCGCCGCAATTCTTGCTCCGCGCATGCATGAGGAACGGATGGGTCAGCATGACGTCCCCCGCGCGTCCTTGAACTTCGACCCACGACTGCTTGTGCTGATACACCCACGTCTTCGCCGAAGCACTCACTTGACCGCCTTAGGAGTACACAAATTGATGGAGTGGTTGGTTTTGACGTAGCATCGTCCTCACGCACCTTTAAGGCCGTGTGGCTGCGCCGCTGCCAGAATGTGAGCCACATGCTTGTGCGATCCAGGCGCTAGTGCCTTGGAATACATGGCATGAATGGGGAAGTGCCGTGGTACGGGTGTCGTACCGTGCCTCCGTCGCCGGGAGCAATGTCGGAGAACAGGAAGATGGGCAGCAACCCCGACTCCTTACTGTCGATGTGGTGAATGTACCGAGCACCATCGACGTGCCAATGACCTGCGGGAGCCCAGGGAAGCATCGCATGTCCAGGAAACGTCAGCACCCACCTTCAAACGTGAACACCCGTCAGAGACAACATGGGGAGGTAGCTTACCATCCACATGTCAAGTCAGATGGGACCCAACGACCTTCTCCGCACACTTGATCCATCGCACGCTTCAGGCGCGGCGTCAGGACATCGGTCCACGGCGAGCCTGTCTCGTCGTTGTAGGATTCTACGTCGGTGATCAACGAATGCACAGATTCATGGGCGAGAATGAATATACTAGTATATGTTTGACTTCCGGGCATCCTGACAGGCCCTTTTATATAACATGCATTCGAGCAAAGGCCGTCCCACAACTGCA